GAAAAAAAAACAAAAATAATGACAAATACACCGAACATTAGAGAAATAACGTTGAACGACATAAATTTAGAACAAAACATCTACCTGGGACAGATAATGAAGGCTAACAAAGAAAATCAAACTGCCGAAATTACCAGAAGTATAAGGTTATAAGTTTAATATGGATAAAATAGTAAAAGCAGAAAGAGCGATGAAAAGGTCAATGCTTGGGATGAGACTTATAGACAAAAAACAAACAAATGGATAAGAAGCAAAACCAAAAGAAAAAGACGCAGGAGAACATGCTGCCAAATTAAAATGGAGCTTCGCAGGACACAATGTTCGACTGAAGGATAAGAGATATAACCACGAAATACCACAGTGGAGACCATGGTTAGTAAAAAAACAGAGGAAGACCACAAATGAGATGGATGGATGATATTAAGATGATCGGAGGACACAACTGAAAGCAAGTGCGCAAAATATAAGATATGGAAAGGCCTATGTCCAAAGTTGGAATATCTAAGGCTGAAGAAGAATGAAAAACAAAACCTATTTAACAATGAATTAAAACAACTTATTTATCAAGTTTTGAAAATCATAACTTATACAAAGTTTTGTTTAATACTAGTTGGGAGAGGCCAGCTATTCACTCGCTGACTTCTCAAATAGAAATATCAGGCTATAATTGATATTAACAAAGGTCTGATTTTTTTTAAGAATATACAAGAAGGAACAAAACCAAACTAAAATTATTTAAAGTGTTTATTATTTTAAAATATTATAAATCTAATAATTAAAACAAATATATTCTTGAATCTTTAATTACATTTAGCTTCAGAGTATTGAAGGTCCTCAAGTTCTTTGAGTATCATACATTTTTTTATCCACCTGAAAGAAACATATTTATGTTAAAAGATTTTTTTTACTTATACAGCATGACAAAAATTATAATTCTATGCAATTATACAAAAACAACAGTAAAAACCTTTCTTTGTTCATTTTCGGATTTGTTACCTGTTCCAGAATAAAACAAAATCAAATCAAAAAAATCATATTTTTTCTTCCTTTATTTTTTCTCTCTATATATACAGGGTGAGTTTTTATTGCAACATCGGATAACCGATGGTTAGTGCCGTATTTGGGCAGTTCTATAGGTACTCCTCTCCGACGTACAGCATTTCCATTTTATGTAATGTTGGCGTGTTTCTTCTGGCTTTATTTCAGTTTCTTCGCAACATGAAATATCATGCTTTTCGAAGAAAACGTTCGATTTTCCGTCAGTATATTTCCGGAAAAATTAAATTTAAACTACTGCATTCTTTACTATCTGTTTGATTGAATATAATTGTTTGCCAGGCTTCTTTACTTCATACGCAACACAAAAACGCTTCACGTTTTTACAATATTTTTTGTAAGTCTATTTTTTATTGATTTTTAAAGTATTTTTAAAATAATTTTAGAACTAAATTCCGTTTTTGTTTAAAAAACATAATCATTACAAATACAAAGTAGGAACAAGTAAAGAAAACAGTTACCCAGAATCCAAAATAATTTATTAAGTGGGGTTTCAGGTTACTTTAGGTACATCTTTAATGATATAGGGAAATATTTTGGATTATGAGTAAGTATCTTGTACTTGCTAATTATTGTTAGTACAAACTTAAATTGGCAATATTAGCATCACCCAAAAACAAATACTTACGGATAAGTTTGTGAGCCCTGTCTCTGATGCGGGAAAGAAGACCACCTTGTTTAACTACAACATTTTGTTCAGGTTGAGTTTCATAAACGACTTGTCTGTTAGGTTGGTACACAATCCTGGAGTCTCCAGAGTTAGGATACGCGACTTCTTGTCCGTTGATGATGATTCTATCGTCTCCTTGTTGAGAGGGGTAGTAGATGGATGGATTATATTCTCCATTGTTTGACTGCAGATAGCTGGGATCAAGGATGATGTATTGGCCGCTGCTCTCGTCCCAGATGTAACGATCGTCACTTTGTCTGTTTTGAATTTCGTTATCGTCGTTATTGCCTTCAACGTAGATCTGTCCGTCGTCCAAATATTGGCGGACCATTACTAATTTGGATCCGACGTATTCGCGCTTAAGGGTGTACTGGCGACCGTAATTGTCCCTGTAAATAAATAAAAAATTTATTAAAATCCTCTATAAGCGGTATATGGTTAAAAAACCCAATCGGGCTATATCACAACAAAACGTTTTCGAAATCCATATTTCATCATCAGTGTCTAGGTGTACATGTTTTGAGCCACTAAACATCTGGATAAAAACCCAGTTATAGGTTTAAAACCCAGAAAAAAGTTATAGGTTTAAATTTAGTTTCCATTATTCGATCTTATATATTAAGATGTTAATGTTACCAGTGGATTTGATAACATGGCAACGTACGACTCTACATGAAGTTGCTGGTCCTAAGATAAAGTGTCTACGAGGACTTAATGATAGCAACTCACCTACCACTATTTATGTAAATAAATAATAACTGTAATAGAAAAAAAAACTATATGTAATCTTTTCATTTAGTTGCAAATATTTCCATTTAGTTGCTTTATGTGATTTCCTTCTGACATATTGTTAGACCTACCAAATAAAAATATAATTTTTTTATAAAAATCGGTCAAGTGGTTTTGGATGAGTAGGGCAAGTATCAATATTCTGGCTACTAAAAAATAGGAGTTCGTGATAGAAGAGTGAAAGTTCTCACTTGCCATTTTCAAGTCTCTCTGGATGGTCTGCTTCTTGTCGATGTTCGAGTGGAAGTTGTATTTAACTTCCACTCGAACATCGACAAGAAGCAGACCATCCAGAGAGACTTAAAAATGGCAAGTGAGATCTTGCCGAAACGTCGTCAAAATGGTTCTTATCAAAACCAACAACATTTAACGCGGAGTCAAACCCGCAATACCATTGATATAACATACAGCTCTCGCGGAAATATCAAAACTAATATATATATATATATATATATATATATATATATATATATATATATATATATAAGAAAAAAGAAGTACTTTCGACTCGTTTGGAAAAAATATAAAACTATTTTGGATGGGTTGGAGTCAATAAAAGGGGTTATTTGTTGACTATTTTTTACTCGAGCTTTCAATTGTGATTACAATTTTTATCAAGAGCTTCTAAAAAATACAAAATATCTTACAAAGTTAAACTAGAAATAAATAATGTTGTTGTTAACTCACCAAATAAAATTAGTTATTTATATAAAACTGCTGCTAACATTATTACAAAAAATATTATTAAAAAAATGTTCTATTCTAATAAATGTTTCTCTGAAATAAATTTTGATAAAATTTCTTAACAAAAACAATTGAATTTGTAAACAAAAATTGAATAGCTACAATTCAGCCTAAATGTCGTAAATACCAACTTAAAAATTTTTGTTTTTAACATATTGTCAAAAATAAAATTTTTGTTTAAAAGATTCTTTTTTGTTTAGTAACAAAAAAGAAGAAGATTTATTCACCATTGATAGATGCCTGAAAAAATGTAACAAATACATGGAAAATTCAAAATGTGATATTTTACTGATTGCATATATAAATTACATAGAAATAATATAATTATAAATTTTGCTTTAGAATTTGAATTTCTGACCTTTTGTTTAAATTATTATCACTTTTGCTAATACAAACCATTTCCAAAAAAGTTCTTTTAAATTTATTACTTTCACTACATAAAATTTTAATATTATTAAAATCCATAATATATACTCAGCTTCACACTGAGTACAAACAATGCTGTATACTACATTTGTTTTATCTAATTTGTCTATAGGATATTTAGTTTTGGAATATAAAGATGAAAAATGGTTTTGATGTTCTTTCTTGCTATTTTTATATTGTCAATAACCTTTAGTGTTTGTATTAATTTAGGAGTTAATGATGGTATAAAAGGTAGTGAATGATAATATATGTTCTGATTGTTAGATATAGTGTTTTGAGATCTAGCAAAAAATGGTGTTAAGTTATTTATATTTAATAAATTAGAAAAAAGCATCCTATGTAGCATATCTGGAGGATAAGAGTTTTCAATTAAAATATTTTTTAATATATATATATATATATATATATATATATATATATATATATATATATATATATATATATATATATATATATATATATATATATATAAAAGTGTGACAACTAACTATGTGACACTAATATGGCTATTAAAAAATAGGGTTTGTATGTATTTTTTAATAAAAACAAAAAATTTTGTTAAGTAAAATGTTTGTAGTGTACTCCCTTACAATTAGGGGTATGAAAAATAGATTAAGATCCATTCTCATATCTACCGAATACATACATCAAATTTCTTAAAAATCGGTCCAGTCCTTTCGGAGAAGTATGGTGAATTTCTAAACAACGCCTGTGTGGATAACAAAAGGGCTAACTCGGGTTTTAAAGGTCATAGTACATTATGCTTTTTTTAATTCTTGTAAAAGTTAACAATATGCGAATATCCAAAACAATAAAAAAAATTGATGAAATTCTTACATGTCTTTGTGTCTGAGTTATTTTAATGGGTTATATTCCTAAATTCATAGTACTTTTGCAAACCCATTTTACAAATATATTTAACATAAAATCACAAATGAACAAGTATTTAGACATATTAGACACAATAGAAATCTACCGAAGACATTTACAATAAGAAAAATATCATACCTGGATCACATACTTCGATTTAATTATTTGTCTCTCTTAGACGTAATCATGCAAGGATGAATAGATAAAGGAAAGGCATGGGAAGAAAAACGTATAAAAGAAAATCATTACTGAGTGATATCAGAGATTGGAATAACCGTAGTGTAAAACATATATTTCACGCCCTAAAAGACAAGGAAATATTTAAAGAAGTGAACAATAAACTTTGTTAGAAGACAACGTTAGAAGAAGACAGGTTTGTTTAGGACAAAAGTTAAAAAATTAATTAAAAATTTGATTATTGCTGAAACTTAAAAAAACTTATTTCTTACCTGTATACATCATGATTGCGTTGATCAATCTCATGTCCGTTAAGAATATCAGCGTGGACATTGGCTTTCTGTCCAAGAACGTCGCCATTGACTTCTCCATGAGCGCCGATTCCTTGTTTGCCAATACCTGCAGAAAGATCAGCGCCTATTTCGTTGTTGAGGATTTTGGCACGAGCATTGGCGTCCAAACTGGCAATGTTCTCGATACCGAAGAAATCTGCGGTTCTAGAGAGGAGACCGTTATCTCCGGTGATGAGTGCTGCGTGGCAACAGCCGAACAAGAGTACAAAAGACGTCTAGAAAAATTGTCTACTTAAATAAAATTAACTCTATTATAATGTTATGAAAAAAATTAAAGTATATTGCCAGAGAATAATTCACTAAAGTTATACTAAGCGTAGGGTTTTATCAGGCAAGATATGAGAAATTAGGAATGATAGAGCAGTACCATATGTCAAAATAACCTTTTTATGGTCCAGATATTATTGTGAAAGGGGTCCCTAATTAGAATACTAAAAAAAGAACTATCAGCAGCTGAAGTCAAGTTGTATCAGACTATCGAATTAAACAGCAAATATTTAGAGCAAAAATCGTGATAAAAAACTTCCGTTTGGATGGATTTGGATGGATTTCTACTTCATTTTTTATAAAAAATATTTATCTGCAAAAGAAACTAGACATTCTCAGAACATTAAGAAGAAAAGGGCAATATGAATTTTGGAACACAAAATGTATAAGTAATCTGAACAAATCTTTTACGAGCATTTTTTTGCCTATGATTTTCCTTGAAATGTCTGTATACTATCGGCAAATAGTTGTTAAAGAAAGTTAATGTTTTTAAAATTATAATACTGGTAAGACATTGCGAATTTTAAATCGCTGTAAGAACAGATATTTTTATTCTTTTGGTTATCCGAGATATTTGAAAGCATTATTTTCCTATTGTGTTTTTCAAGCGTGCGTGGATCATCCACCATCCATGGGGTAGTCCATTTTTTACAGCTATAGCTAAAGCTTAAATTGAATAGTTAGAAATAGTTAAAAAACTAGTATTCGTACAAGCTTATTCGTAATGTTTTGCTTAATTGCGTATATGTGCCTTTAAACAAAACGTTAGCTTTACAGCTTTTTAAACAGAGTTTACAAAAAAAGGCGAAAATAGCGACAACAAAGACAAACGTTAAGGCGTTGTAAGATATTTAGTAGGTAGAATGACATAGAAAATAAATTGTAACTGACGATGTATTTATAGTGAATAAAAAATAAGATAAAATATGACGATATGAGAAAGAAAGAAGACGTATTAAATACTTCTTACACAGATAAACGCATAGAAAACAAATCCTAATTCTTAGAATGTAAACTGACAACAGCCTGAAATACATGAAATTCATATAATATTTAGAGCAAATTACAAAAAAAGTAAATTTTCTAAAAAAAAATTAACTGGAACTTTTGCAGAAGCAAACCATAGATAGAAAAGACTGACATCGTTTTTGACTGACTTTTTTTAATGTAACTTTTTTTACACAGAAGATCGTTTTTTATTTAACTTAAAGGACATCGTTGTTATTATTAGAACATCATCGTGTGGATTTGTTTACATATAAATCTAATCAAAATACAAAAACGCAAAGAGAAGGAAAACAATATTACTAAAAATATACAAATTTTTTAACTTACCAACAGCTTACAGTTCATGTTGGTGCTTCAACAAGTCAACTGATAAAGTTTTTTAAAATATCGCTCTTAAATATTAAGGTTATATGAATATTCTTAATATTTTAATATCAAATTTTAATCTACCATTTTACTAATCTACTAATTAGGGTATTTTTATGCAAGGAAATGTATGATTTGAGTGATATAAAACAGTTTATCTTACTTCGGTTTTTTTATCGCTTAGGTTCAATTTCCGACTTAAAATGAAAAATACACCAAGTACAAAAACTGTAGGTTAGGAAAACAGAAACAAGAACATTCTTTTGACTGGGCAATTAGCAATATTGTGATTGTCATTATAAATATGCCACTTAATCTGTGATTAGCTATTTATCTTCTTCTTGGGTTGGCTGTTCGTTCCGAATGTTGACAATCATTCTGGCTATGATGACTTTGTTGGTTGCTATACGAAATAGCTGTGTTGAGGTCTTTCTATAACATGCTCTAAGGTTAGCAAGCCAGGATATTCTTCTTCATCCGGAGGCCCCTTTTTCTTCAATTTCACCCTAAAAAAATGCATTGAAGTAGCTCGTATCTGTCTTGATTTCTCATTATATGTCGCAAGTACTGCAGCTTACGGCCTTCACGATGTTGACCAAATCCGCAGTTGTGTTCATCCCCAGCAGTACTTTTTATTGGTGACTTTGTCTGTCCATGGTATCTTCAGGATCTTTCTTCATTACCATAGCTCAAAAGCCTAAAGTTTTGATAAAGTTTCCGCCTTCAATGTCCACGTTTCCACTCCGCACAGAAGCACTAAGTACATATAACATTTAAGGAGCCTTATTTTTGTTTATAGGGTGAGGTCATGGCTCTTGAACACAGAACTCATAGTCAAGAATGCACTGTTTGCTTTCCGATGCGACATTTAATAGTTTCCAAGTAGTTGTATTGTGAGACACGTTCAATTCTCATTTAGTTCACACACAAATTTGCTGTTTGTCACCGACACTCTTTAAAATACACGTCCAAGAAGCATTAAGGAATTGGAGAAATAAATGTAGATTTATGGGCATCGAAGTGGGACAAGAAACTCTGTATACATTGTTGTTTTGCAGATGATCAGGTGGTGGTTGCAACCGATGAGGAAGATATAAATTATATGAATCGAAAATTATTTGAGGAATATGCCAAATGGGGGCTTACTGTAGACATAAGCAAAACAGAGTATTTAAAAATTGGAGGAAATACCACAGATCTGAGGCTTGAAAACGCAGTCATAAAAGGTGTGCAACCAGTATAAATATCTAGAAAGCATCATATCAGCAGATGGCAGAGTTAAGAGAGATGTACAAAACCGAATAACCCAAGGGAACAAATGCATCCGAATACTGAATTCATTACTGTGGTCTAATAAAACAAAGATGAATACAAAACTTCGTGTATACAGAGCAATTGTAGAACCAATTACCACATATGGTGCCGAATGTTGGACGATGACAAAGAATGAACGGATAAAGTAGACGTTGTGGAAATGAATAATCTTAGAAGGTCATGTCGAGTATCAAGAATGAAAAGAATCAGGAATGAGGAAATTCGAAACCGTACAGGAATTAGAGATACTCTTTCAGATAGAATACAAGGAAGGCAATTACAATGGTATAGTCACATGATGAGAATGGAGGAGGAGCGGTGGCCAAAGAAAGCCTTAATGTATGGTCCCCCAGAAAGAAGGAAAAGGGGAAGACCACCAAATTCCTGGAGAAGAGAAATTACAAAAACAATGCAATCTAGAGGCTTAGAAAAGGGAGTTTGGAGAGATAGGAAAAGATGGAGGCTGAAATGCGGGAAGCGGCAATCGCCGTAGGATCCTCGTTATATGATGATGATGATGACAAATTTGCTCTTCAGTTGCTGATGATCATTAGCTTAATTTTCTTGGTGTTTACATCCAGTCCATATTTTCTACTTGTTTCCGTAATTTGGCTCATTAAATTTTGCAGCCTTTCTATGTTATTGGAAAACACTGTTATATCATCTGCATACCACAGGTTATTGAGCTTAACTAAATTGTGCTTGACTTCTTGACTCTTTAGGCATTTATGTAACTAACTTATATGCTCCTACATTCTTAAGATAAAGCAAATTTCCATCAACAATGTGTATGTCTACCATAATGGAATTAAAAAATTTTACCAAAAAAGTAACGCTTTGGATTAAGAATCACCAAAAGCCATGAATCAGAATTGTAGGGTCGGCGACAAAAGCAGACGTCCAAATTTAAGCTTTTTCAGGAAGTGATAAAAACTATTTTAAAATTAAACACATGAGTGAATTTAGCTTTTAATAATTAAAATTATGTATATAGAATACATCTATTACAATACAAATTAAAAACAACATCTTCTTCTTCTTCTAGTTTCTATCCGTTTTGGATGTTGGAAATCATATTGGCAATCATAACCTTGCTCGCTGCGGCTCGAAACAGCTCAGTTGAGGTTTTCTTAAACCATGTTCTTAAATTCCGCAGCCATGATATTCTCCTTCTACCGTGTCCTCGCTTACCTTTGACTTTACCTTGCAATATAGACTGTAGCAGGGAGTAACGGTGCTGATTTCTCATAACGTGTCCCAGATATTGCAATTTTATGCGTTTGATCGTAAACACAATCTCTGGTGCCTTCTTCATTTTTCTCAAAAACAACATAAATGTTAAAAATGTTAGATTTTGACTTGTCCAGTTAGGTACGTCTTTCTTTATTGACTTACAAGGTACAAATGAAGTGCAAATTTTAAAATAAAAAAAAACTTAGACCTTATATTATTATAATTACGAAATAAATATTAAAAAATACAATTTTAAAAGAACAAAAGCATAAAGTCTGAATTAGTTTATTTCTTCATCTTTACTAACATTGATTTGTATTATTCGTATGCAAGCCTTGATAAAAACTGTGAAATAAGGTAGGAATTGGAGGCAGTAGCGAAATAATGTCGGTTTTTCTCTCTAGAAATACTGACTGGTTGAATAATTATGAAACTTCCCTCTTTTGTTAAAATCAATAGTTTTAAATGGGTCTTCTCTATTAAGGCTGTCTTTGAAATGAACGATTGCTAAGACTTTTGTACATCGCAGTCATCTTTTGTCCAGCCAACGAAATTGACAACCGTCAGTGTCTTTATTTTTTAGTATCATGCAACCTTTAAGTTTCGAAACTGAGAGTGGCACAGAGACGAATGGAACGGTCTATGCTGGGAGTGACGTTGAGAGACCGAATAAGAAACGAAGATCTGCGAAGAAGGACGAGTATTACTGATGTTGTGGAACGCATAGCGGAACCAAAATGGAACTGGGCAGGCCATGTAGCGAGAATGCACGATTCACGATGGACGAGCAAAATTACAAATTGGAGGCCAAGAGCAGACAAACGCAGTAGAGGAAGACCACCTACACGTTGGGCCGACGACATCAGGCGTATCACTAAAAATTGGCAACAAAGAGCACAAAATCGTGAGGAATGGAGGAGTTTAAGGGAGGCCTATGTCCAGCAGTGGACGTGATAAATAGGGGCTGGATGATGATGATGATGATGCTGAACCTTTAAGTAAAGATTAGAAGTATATATTAAGATTAAGATTAAGTATAGATTAGCAGAGTCTGTTTGTCACATTTTCATAACAGTAAATTTAGAGCTGCTTGGACTTACAAATTGCATCCAGTCACGAGGGGTAAAAAATATTTGAATGTGTTTTCTTCTTTTTTTCTCAATAATACTGTGATCAGTATCTACTTCTAAGCGAGTGTGACCTGGTACCATAAACTTATGATCTATTAGCTTAATATTAGATGAGGGTCTATGCAAGGCCCATGTAAACATGGCAGATCCGTTGAAGAGAGTAACGGTTTTGACCCACAAATGTATCTAAATAATAAATTACATGTTTTGTCTCAGTTGGTATGATTGTATGGTCTACAGGTGTTTGTACAGACAAAATGCTATCTGATTTGCCCCTCTACCTGCAACAGATTCATACCACATGAGTAACAAACAGCTTTTCCTGTACTGTTATCATGAACTATCAAGTTAAACGTCCACAGCTTTCTCTTACAAAATGCAACAGATGATTTTAAATCTGGTGTTGGTAAGCACGCAACATTTCGGGCCAATGCTTTTTAAATGCATTCATTTTTTTTTGAATCCTGAGAAAGCTAAAGCTTTAAACGCAGAATGATAGATTACATTATTATCATGGTCCGAAAGTCCCTTAGAATTAACAAAAAGTTTTTTTGAATGAGATATTTGAAATTAAAAATCACACTAATTTTTTTTTTTCACCCATGTAACTTATTAAAATAAACATTATAGAAGTTTTCAGGGACTTTCGGCCCTCGGTAATAATGTATTCTTTCATTCTGCGTTTAACTTTTTCAAAAATATTTTTTAGTTTTCTCAGGATTCGAAAAAAAATCATGCATTTAAAAAGCATTGGCCCGAAATTTTGCGCCTACGCTCTTAAATTTGAAACAGTTGTGGCAGTTTCTGTATCTTTGCTTTTTATCATATATACTTGATCGGCTTCCATGGTGGGATTTGTGGTTTGAAGAGAGTTTTTTGAATTTTTAATTGAAAAATAAAGTTATCTCAGGTAAAACATGTATCAAGTTTTGGCTTTTTAAATCCGAGGTTAAGCATTTTAAATTCCTGTGAATAAATTTTAATAGATGTGGGAGAAGGTGTGGACTGTTTGAACAATTCTTACATTTTTTGTTATGTGAGACGGTAAGTACTTCTTCCAAGTGTGCTTTCGTGAATAGTGACTTTCGTATAGTGGAAATGAAAGTATATGATTTTTTATTTCTATTCGTTTTACTTCACTAATTTTCGTTTTTGATATAGTCTTTCCTCTTTCATCTTCTACATCCGTACCTGTGATCGTAGATTGTATTCAACTGTGAAAGTGATTTTTAATAAATCAATCATGTGGGTATCCACATAATTTCAAGGTTTCAAGTTTCAAGGGTTCAAGTAAAATATATT